CCACCATCCCTCGGATCCATCAACTACGTTGATTTCTGTTATCATTGCAATCAGTTGCTCTTCAACAAGATTTGCCTGAGAAGCAGAGTTTGCCTTATAATGCATGGCGGATTGAATACGTCTTAAAATTGTTGTAAACTGAAATAGAAAGGAACAAAGTTACCCGAAAAAATGTAGAAGTCTTGAGTGGTGAGTGATTCTTGGGTTGAGTCGCGGACTAAGTCGCTCTCTTTAAGATGTTTCGCGGCTTTGCCCAAAGTATGCAAGCAGTTTTCAAACACCACGTTGTTCCCAGGATAAAACAACCCAAAACCTTCTTCTTCTGATAGGTTCTTCCTTGCACAATGAAAGAACCTTTGAACTCACACCCTTTCTATATGTTGCTTTCAAAACTCAATTTAAAAAAATAATAAGCTGTTTTTTTTTTCTCCTCTGTGTTTTCTTCGAAACAGGGAACATATATATATGCAAGACAATTAAATATTCGTTTCAAATTTTTGATATTCAAGGGCTTGAAAATCTTTAATAATAAAAACTGAAGAAACCAAAACTGTCAAATAAAAAAACGTATATATTCAAAGGTCAAATAAAAAACGTACATATTCAAACCTAACAAAAGGAATGTACATGACCTAATCTTCTTCTCTATTCTGAGAAGGAATCCCACTATATATAAATATATATATATATTTAATGATTGTAATAAACCCAAATATAAATACCACAACGGACAAAAATATAGCAATTAAAATATTTAAATAAAAACATATTTACTCCAACAATCGCCCACTTGTTTTTGTTTAAAAATCGTAAATCAAGCAACATATTATAAAGCTGTGCATAAGTAAAGGTGTTTCTCAACTCGAACCTGTACATAGTGTTATTGATCCAGATTATACCAAAGTAACTTATAGTTTTTAACTCTATCTCTGACAACACCACACACACAACTTTATTAAGGTGAAGTTCAAAAAGCTAGCATATTACGGCCATGTGCTTGTATCCTAGTATAGTGAACGCTCTAGAAACTTGCCCAAGATTTCATAGGAAGTGGCCTTACTTCCACATTCACATAGGTAAGACTATCAATGATATTCCTGGAGCTAGATATCCCACTCAACATAGAGTATAGACCTTATTAAGAGAAAAAAAAATCTCAACCTAAAAACGCTTCAGGATGTCATGCTTCTTAGGGATGGACATGGAATAATATTTCAAATTAAAATTAGCAAGACTTCACTCATAGCACTTGCGACTTGTTATTACCCTTTGAACTTATTTCTTGGGATCTCCAGTCTATAGGTTGGGTTGCTATCACAAATGACTCAATTTTCTACGGGCTTTAGTCTCATACCTTTCGAGGTTTTCCAAACCTTTTCTCGTACTAGTCCTTTTGTCAAAGAATCAGCTAAGTTTTCTTCAGACCGTATATGATCCACTCTTACAGCTCCTTTAGAGAGGTAATATCTTACAGTGTTGTGCTTACGGCGTATTTGTCGCCTTTTCCCGTTATAATAACGGTTTTGCACTTTAGCTAGTGCCGCTGTGCTATCACAATGGATCAAAACTGCTGGAATCGATTTCTTCCATAAAGGGATATCTGATAGTAGGTTTCTCAACCATCCTGCTTCTTCGCTTGCCATAGCTAGCGCTATTAATTCTGATTCCATAGTAGACTGAGCCAAGATAGTCTGTTTCTTCGACTTCCATGACACAACCCCGCCACCAATACTAAAAATATATCCACTAGTGCCTTTAGAGTCATCTGAAAAGGGTATTCAAATCAGCGTCGCTGTAACCTTCTAGGACAACGGGAAACTTCTCATAGTGTAATCTGAAATTCATTGTTCTTTTAAGGTATCTCATAAGCCTCTCTATAGCATGCCAATGCTCCAAACTGGGTCTGCTAGTAAACCTACATAAAACTCATACGGCATAAGATATATCAAGCCTAGTGCAATCAGTAGCATAACGAAGACTACCAATAATGCTCGCATACTCAGATTGTTTAACACTGACACTAGTGTTCTTGAACAATTTTACACTAGGATCATAAGAAGTACAAGCTAGTTTACAATCAAAATAATTATACTTTCTTAAAAAAATTTCTATGTAGTGAGATTGATCTAAAGAAAACCCATGTTTAGACCTAATTATTTTCAAATCAAGTATTACACTAGCTTCACCCAAGTCTTTCATATCAAAATTAGCACATATCAAAGATTTGACATTATTCACAACATGAATATTTGAACAAAAAATGAGCAAATCATCCACATATAGGCATATTATAGTGCATATATTATTTTCATACTTATAATAGATGCATTTGTCACTTTCATTTATTTTAAAACCATTCGAAATAACCAAACTATCAAATTTCGCATGCCATTGTTTAGGAGCCTGTATCAATCCATAAAGTGACTCATCTAACTTGCAAACTTTATTTTCTTGTCCTGGAATAATAAAACCCTCTGGTTGATCCATATATATTTCTTCCTCTAATTCACCATTTAAGAAAGTTGTTTTAACATCCATTTGGTGCACAACAAGATCATGAATAGAAGCTAAAGCAAACAATACACGAATAAAAGTTATTCTAGTCACAGTTGAATAAGTATCAAAGAAATCAATATTTCTCTTTGCCTATAGCCTTTGGCAACAAGTCGGGCTTTAAAATTTTCAACTGAACTATCAGGTTTTAATTTTCTTTTAAGAATCCATTTGCAACCTATTGTTTTGCAACCATGTGGAAGATCCACCAAATGCCAAGTTTGATTTGACTCCAAGGAGTCCATTTCATCATTTATAGCTTCTTGCCACAAATATGCATCTAAAGAAGTTAAAGCTTCTTGAATTGTATTAGGATCTTCTTGTAAGTTATATACATGAAAATCAGGCCCAAAATCTATAGCTATTCGAGCTCCTTTACTTTTCCTAGGTTCTAATGCAGATTGACTATGTTCTACAATAGTAGGTTCATAAATTTTAGAAGAATTAGAACCCCCACTATTTCGAAGATTAAAAGGAAATTTATTCTCATAAAAATCAGCATCAAGTGACTCAATTATGACATGCTTTTCCAAATCATAAAACCTATATGCTTTGCTATTACATGCATAACCAATAAAAACACATTCATATGCTTTACTAGCCAATTTCGATATTTTTGGATCAAGTTTACGAACATAAGCTAAACAACCCCAAGTTCTGAAATACAACACATTTGGTTTCTTATTTTTCCAAATTCTGTAAGGAGAAATATTTGTTTTTGAGTTAGAGATTCTATTTAACACATAACATACAGTCAACACAATTTCACCCCACCAATAAGAAGCAGCTCCAGAACTAAGCAAAGTAGCAACAGTCAATTCACAGAGAGTTCGATTTTTTCTTTCTGCTTTACCATTCATTTCAGGAGAATAAGGAGCAGTAGTTTCATGAATAATTCCATGAGACTTAAACAAATTAACAAATTCAATATATTCATATTCTTGTCCTCTATCACTACGAAATCTTTTAATCTTACGATTAAATTGATTTTCAACTTCAGTCAAGAAAGTTTTGAACATGTCAATAGCTTCACTTTTATTTTTCATAAGATAGACAAAACAGTAATTCAAACAATCATCAATAAAGGTAATAAAATAACGTTTTCCATTTCTAGTTAGCACTCTATCAAATTCGCATATATCAGAATGAATTAAATCAAATGGTTCAGATTCTCTATTGACAGATTTATGTGAAGTTCTAGTGATTTTAGCTTGACTACAATATTCACATTTTTCAAAATCATTTCATGATAAGTTAGGTAAAAAACCTAAGTTACTCATGTTCTTAACCAAGCGTTTGTTAACATGACATAGTCTAGCATGCCAAGTATTAAAAGAAGACAACATGTAAGATTTCATCAACATTTAATTTAAACATCCCATCAATAGCATATCCATTTCGCACAAAAACCCCATTTTTAGTGAGAGTATACGTATCTGCTCCAATGGTTTGAGTGAATCCAGCCTTGTTGAGAAGAAAGCCTGAGACCAGATTCTTCCTTATCGCTGGAGCGTGCATCACATCTTTTAGTATCATGGTTTTTCCTGAGGTGAACTTCAACTCCACCTCTCCAGTACTAGCAACATCAGTTGAGTGCGAATCACCCAACAACACTTTCCTTCCCTTAGCCACAAAATAGGTCTTGAAAAAAGAACGATCTTAGCAAACATGACGAGAAGTGTCAGTGTCCACCCAATATCCCTCGGATCCATCAACTACGTTGATTTCTGCTATCATTGCAATCAGTTGCTCTTCAACAAGATTTGCCTGAGAAGCAGAGTTTGCCTTATAATGCATGGCAGGTTGAATACGTCTTAAAATTGTTGTAAACTGAAATAGAAAGGAACGAAGTTATCCGAGAAAAATGTAGAAGCCTTGAGTGGTGAGTGATTCTTGGGTTGAGTCGCGGACTAAGTTATTCTCTTTAAGACGTTTCGCGGCTCTGTCCAAAGTGTGCAATCAGTTTTCAAACACCACGTCGTCCCCAGGATAAAACAGCTTAGAACCTTCTTCTTCTGATAAGTTCTTCCTTGCAAAATGAAAGAACCTTTGAACTCACACCTTTTCTATATGTTGCTTTCAGAACTCAATTTAAAGAAATAATAAGCTGTTTTTTTTTTTCTCCTCTGTGTTTTCTTCGAAACATGGAACATATATATATGCAAGACAATTAAATATTCGTTTCAAATTTTTGATATTCAAGGGCTTGAAAATCTTTAATAATAAAAACTGAAGAAACCAAAACTACAAAATAAAAAAACGTACATATTCAAAGGTCAAATAAAAAACGTAAATATTCAAACCTAACAAAAGGAATGTACAGGACCTAATCTTCTTCTCTATTCAGAGAAGGAATCCCACCATATATATATATATATATATATTTAATAATAGTAATAAACCCAAATATAAATACCACAACGGACAAAAACATAGCAATTAAAATATTTAAATAAAAACATATTTACTCCAACAGTAACAAAATAAATAAGTTATTGATGTACAAGACTTGAGGGTGAGGTGCAAATCCATTAGCAATCAATGTACACTGAAATTCTTCTGGCATACTCGAGTTCTTTTTTGTTTCTGCATCCAAAAATTTACATTGCAGAACTTTGAAGGAAGCATTTCAAATTTTTAATGAGTTCCCAACATCATGTGTATCCATGTAAGATATTGCAACAGCAGCATTGAGAGCTGCTCCAACAGAAAAAGCCTGTTCGTCTATGACAAATAGAGACGAGTGCAATGGCTGGTCTGATTTTAGACTCTCATTCTTTATCCCGAGAACGAAAATTGCAGCCGCAAACTTATGTGAGTAGAAGCTGAAATCCTCTGCTCCCATGATCAATGGTTGAAGCTCCACATTAGATTCCCCGAGTAGAACCTCACCAACCTTCTTTGCGTGCTCATACAATGCTTCGTTGTTAATCATCACTGGATAAGGCAGCGGTGTTTCCTCCATGAAGTCCACTGTACCCTCACAGCGATGCACGGCTGCTTGCAGTTCTATGACCTGCAAGTGGAACATAACTGTAAGAGAAGCTATACAAGCAATCCACTCAGTTTGGTAAAATGAACTAGTTTACCTAGTCCTTCTACAGTATGTGATGCACCGATTTAATGAACGGCTAGATTGGAATGTTTTTAATCAAGTAAACCAAATCCAACCATCCGCTGAAGCACATAATCTCATAAACCGGTGCATTGTAGAATTTTAGCAATTTTACCTCTTTGATCCTTTCTTGGATATGGCTGAGTCCTTCCATTGTCAAGCTCCTGAAAGTTCCCCCAAAGTTCACAGACTCGGGGATCACATTTCCTGCTTCACCTCCCTTTAAGTACCCAACTGTCACCACCTGTGTAACGGGTTCAACTCAACATGAAAATTGATACACTAATCATATCTAACAATCTGCGATTATAGCAATTTGAAAGTGAAATTAAATGTCTATCAAACTTATTCCTTTATTTTTTTCCCAAAACAAAAAGGCAAGGAGAAAAATTACCCCGGCCTCAAGAGGATTTATCTCTCTTGAAACAATCTGCTGAAGAGCCACAACAGCTGATGCTGCTGCAAGAATCGAGTCCTTACTCTTATGTGGAGCAGCTGCATGCCCACCTTTTCCTTTGATTGTTGCTGAAAAAAGGCCAGCGCCGGCTAGCATTGGACCTGGCCGTGAAGCAATGACACCCGTTGGCAGTGATGGCATAACATGTATGAAGAAGATGGCATCAATATCGTTAAGAATGCCATGTTGTAACATATGGTAAGCTCCGGCATAACCCTCTTCTCCCGGCTGAAAAACCAGCTTCACAGTTCCCTTTAAAGTTCAAAAGAACCAAAAAGACATAGATCAATTACAATTTGGGTTTGCCGAATTAATATCTGGTAAGTTACATTGTTCAACCACATATCAAGTTATCAACGATATATGACAAATGTACGACAAGTCAATATATATACCTTTAGAATGTCTCTTTTACTTTGGAGTAACTTGGCTGCGCCAAGCAACATTGCCACATGAGAATCGTGCCCACATGCGTGCATTTTGCCATCTATCTTGCTCTTGAACTCCCACTCTACTTGTTCCTTCAAAATTCAATGGGTATATTTTGATCATCAGTGACCAAAAATAGAACATTTACCTAGTTTAGCATTTTCTGGTCAACAACACAGTTCCATAATAGCCGATGATCATTTGGTCCAGTAGAACTTACAATCAAAATATCACCTCCCCAAACAGGCCAAGGCATGTTTACATGCCAGAAACGGATTGCAAGTTAAGAGTGTCACTCTCCGTTCTTGGCATTTGCCTTGTGTTTACTAATTAACACACAAGGAATTAAAGAAGGGCTACATGTTATCATTAAGTACATACTACTTAGTACCTAAAAAAGGTTTGGGATTAACCAATGGGGAAAATTATGGGGTTCAAGTCCAACCTTGTGGACTATCTCATCCCTACGAATCACACACTAAAAACTTTCTCCACCAAACCGGGGGAGTTAGATGAATCAAGTACACCGCATGGTGATGTCTCAATTCAATGAACACAATCATGCAGTGTGAGATAAAGGTTGTGATATGATACTTTATTATTAGACCGAGATACCATTCTGACGGATACTTAATCCATCTACGTTCATCCCGTACCAATCAACCATTTATTATTCTCAAGACTTCTCTCAAGTAATTAAACATGCCCCAAATTCGTCGAGTTGAATTCCTCATATTATATGGAACTCACGTGTACTTTCACTTTGATTTCGAGTACGGATTAGTAAACATGCGGTTAATTTGTTTTGTTTTGTACTTTTTAACCGAGGAGATGACAGGTTCAAATCATTCGATTAAAAACAAGGGAAATTTAAAAAAAAACTTCTGATACTATTCATCTTAACAAAAAAACATACTTTTAACATTAAAAAGTTAATCCTGATACTATTCAATATACTATTTATTTTATCATTTTTGTTGAAATTTAAAAAATTTTAACAATTTTTATTAATTTTTTTTTTTTTTAAACGAAGGAAAAGAGAGGACCTGAAGAGGGAGAGCGTCCATGTCAGCCCTGAGAGCAAACACTGGTTTGGAGCCAGAACCAACGGAAGCCACCACACCAGTCTTGGCAACAGGCCACGTGTACTCAATTCCTAGGGTGTCGAGCTCGGTCCTGATGAGTTGACTCGTCCTGTGCTCTTCGAACCCAATCTCTGGGTACTGGTGGATTCTCCTCCTCACTCCCCTCATCCACTCAAAGAACTCGGCCTCCTTCGCCGATGCCAAGAGCTCCCGAGTCAGCAACTCGAGCTCTGTCTCACTAGTTTCCGAAGCCCAAGACTTGCCCAAAATAGTTGGCAGCAATAAGTAAAAGAGCATAAACGCAGCCATGGTCGGATGAAATTTTTTTTTTGGGTTTTTGTTGAAATTTGAAAGTCAATCACTCCAGACCAGGGAGCAACAAAAAGGATAAGCTTTTTCTCCTGAATTTCTGTATTTGGCCTGCAAATTTATGTTTTGTTGTTTTGGGTTCCAATAATTCTTGTTCGATTTGTTTAATGACTTATTTGTGTTTGTTTCTTTATCACATCACACCTCCTAGAAAGATGATATATTAACGCTAATTTATTAATAAGATAATTTAAAATTGTGCTCAATTAGTTAACGAAATTTTAATCAACATGCCTATATTATTTTTGGGAAAGAGATCATCTCCTAATCTCTTCCACCATTGCTACCTAATTAAGTGTTCCGGATTTTTGAAATTTGATCCAACGGCTAAAGTTATTATAACTTTTAAAAGGATTCCTGTTTTTAGCCGTTGAATCAAATTTCAAAAGCCTTGATCACTTGATTAGGTGACCTTCATGGAAGAGATTAGAAGATGATCTCTTTCATTTGTTTGCTCCACCAACTCCAATTCAATTATTTATCCTTATTGTCATTTTTAGTTTAACGACTATTTCTCTTAAGATTTGAACTCGAATCTTCCTCCAATAGATAGGAGAGTTTTTATTTTTTTATTTTTTTTTATTTTTTACAACAAGTAATATGTTTACTATAAATTATACAAAGGAGTAAGAAGAGGGAGAAAGTTTAAACTCGAAACGAAATAGATAGAAGAATGTTTTAACCACAAAAGCAATCCATCACTTACTTTCATTAACCCTTAACCACTAGATGCACAAATGTTAGTTCACCTTGCCAAATACAACATTATGAGTACATCTTTCATACAATTACATACGAATAATGCAGCACGATTTATGCACTTTAACTTACTTATGATGAACTATTTTCCTTGTTATTATTTTATGACTCTCATTTGATTTATTCAATCTAACGATTACCAAAAAAAAAAAAAAAAAAAAACAAAACAAAACAAAAGAAATCATGCATAAGAGGAAAAAGAAGTGCGGAAATAATTTCTCTTGAATGATGTAATTTTCATTTTTATAATAATGGATATAAACATTTCAAGTTCCAACACGAGTTATTCACTGTAAAACGATATACATCAAACGCCTCTATGCGTCACAACAGGATCAACATTATCCGAATATGAGAGTGCGACTGCAGCATGAAAGGCTGCTCCAATTGGAAGAACCTCCTCATCAATCACCAAGAAGGGTGAATCAAATTCTCGTTCTTCGTCCCAATCATGAAGAATGCAACAGCCCATTTTTCGGCATAGAAGCTAAAGTTCTCTGCTCCCATAGCCATTGGAAGTACCTTCAAATGAGTATTATTGAGAAAATTTGTTGAGTGCTTCCGACACAATCTGTTGAGTGTTGTTAAGATATGTCTAGCATACATTATATCAAACACTTAGTGGGCACATAGACACTCATACCAAACATTCAAATGGTATTCGGAAGACCTTCACATGTATATTTCCATAATCCAGGTGGTTTGGTGGTTTGGGACAACTTTGATTTCAATGTACTTCCGCCATTGCTCGTCACTTCTACTTTTGAGTACTACAAGCATGAATGACGTAAATTGACCCACACATGCATACACAACCACTCCAAGCATTTCCTTAGGTAAGATTTGCTTTCAAAATACAATTACAGAGGGTATAGATGAAGTAAGATTTTCTCCCCTCCAAATTTCTCTCTTTTAATCTTTTTTTATTTGTTACAGTTACGATTAAGTCACGTCAATATCTTGTATTGATTTTTTTAAGAAAGAGAAAGATAAAGAGAAAGATAAAGAGAAAAGTGAGAGAGGAGAGGAAGGGAGACAATCCTACTTGGGTATAGAAATGCCTACTCGTATTAGCCAATCTGCGACAACATTTTCCAATACCCATCAAAATTGCTTTGGTTGATATTATATAGCTTCAAACAGTTGGTAAATAAAAATAAAATTACAGAGATTGAAATCTTAAACTTGATGGCAGATTCTGATTTGCAAGCCCTAAGGGTTTTGCCCAAATGACGAAAGTGGTGGAGAAATGAGTTAGAATTAAATTAGGTCAAATATCCGATTCTCTTTTTTTAACAAAATAAGTAAATTATTTATTAGCTAGACTTGAGGGTGAGGTGCAATTCCATTAGCAATCAATGTACATTGAGTCTTAGTTCAATGTAGTTCTTCTGGCATACTCGAGTTCTTATTGTTTCTGCAAATCCAATAATTTACATTGCAGAACTTTGTAGGGAAAGCATTTCAACTTTTTAATAAGTTCCCAACATCATGGGTATCCAAGTAAGATATTGCAACAGCAGCATTGAGAGCAGCTCCTACAGAAGAAGCCTGTTCGTCGATGACAAATAGAGACGAGTGTAATGGCTGGTCCGATTTTAGACTTTCATTCTTTATCCCGAGAAAGAAAATTGCAGCCGCAAACTTATGCGAGTAGAAGCTGAAATCCTCTGTTCCCATGATCAATGGGTGAAGCTCCACATTAGGTTCCCCGAGTAGGGCCTCACCTACCTTCTTTGCATGCTCATACAATGCTTCATTGTTAATCATCACTGGATAAGGCAGCGGTGTTTCCTCCATAAAGTCCACCGTGCCCTCACATCGATGCACGGCTGATTGCAGTTCTATGACCTGCAAGTGGAACATACTGTAAGAGAAGCTATACAAGCAATTCACTCAATTTGGTAAAATGACCAAATTTACCGAGTCCTACAATATGTGATACACCGATTTAATGAACAACTAGATTGGAATGTTTTTAGTCAAGTATACCAAATCCAACCATCCGCTGAAGCATAGAATCTCATACACCGGTGCATTGTAGAATTTTAGCAATTTTACCTCTTTGATCCTTTCTTGGATATGGCTGAGTCCTTCCATTGTCAAGCTCCTGAAAGTTCCCCCAAAGTTCACAGAATCAGGGATCACATTTCCTGCTTCACCTCCCTTTAAGTACCCAACGGTCACCACCTACATAACGGAACTGATTCAACATGCAAATTGATACACAATTCATATCTAACAATCCGCGATTATTGCAATTTGAAAGAAAATTTATGTCTATCAAACTTATTCCAATTTTTTTTTTCCTGAAAAAAAAAGGGGGAGGAGAAAAATTACCCCGGCCTCAAGAGGATTTGTCTCTCTTGAAACAATCTGCTGAAGAGCCACAACAGCTGATGCTGCTGCAAGAATCGAGTCCTTATTCTTATGTGGAGCAGCTGCATGCCCACCTTTTCCTTTGACTGTTGCTGAAAAAAGGCCAGAACCGGCTAGCATTGGACCTGGCCGTGAAGCAATGACACCAGTTGGTAGTTGGTAGTGATGGCATAACATGTATAAAGAAAATGGCATCAATGTCGTTAAGAATGCCATGTTGTAACATATGGTAAGCTCCGGCATAAACCTCTTCTCCAGGCTGAAAAACCAGCTTCACAGTTCCCTTTAAAGTTCAAAAGCACCAAAAAGACATCAATTACAATTTGGGTTTGCCGAATTAACATCTGGTATGTTACATTGTTCAACTGCATATCAAGTTATCAATGATATATGACAAATGTACGACAAGTAAATATATATACCTTTAGAATGTCTCTTTTACTTTGGAGTAACTTGACTGCGCCAAGCAACATTGCCACATGAGAATCGTGACCACATGCGTGCATTTTGCCCTCTATCTTGCTCTTGAACTCCCACTCTACTTGTTCCTTCAAAATTCAATGGGTACATTTTGATCATCAGTGACCAAAAATAGAACACTTACCCAGTTTACCATTTTCTGGTGAATAACAAAGTTCCATAATAGCCGATGATCATTTGGTCTGGTAGAACTTACAATCAAAATATCACCTCCCCAAGCAGTTTAAGGCATGTTTACATGCCAGAAACGGATATTAAGTTAAGAGTGTCACTCTGGCATTTGTCTTGTGTTTACGAACACACAAGGAATTAAAGAAGGGCCACATGTTATGATTAAGTACATACTACAGAGTACCTAGAAAAGGTTTGGGACTAACGAATGGGGAAAATTATGGGGTCCAAGTCCAACCTTGTGGACTGTCTCATCCCTACGAAATCATGCGGTGTAAGATAAACACTGTGACGGGATATTGTATTATTAGACCATGATACCACTCTGACGGATACTTGATCTATCTATCTCGTACCGATCAACCATTTGTCATTCTCAAGACTTCTCTCAAGTAATTAAACATGCCCAAATTCGTCGAGGTGAATTCCTCATATTATATGGAACTCACTTGTACCTTCACTTTGATTTCGAGAGTGTGATATCCACACATCCCTTTTTACTTCTCACACCCTCTTTTAGTTTTCAGTTGTCAGATCGGATGAAATGAAGAAGATCAACGGACATAAATTAACAAAAGGTGTGTAAGAAGTAAAAAAGGATATCACACCCCCTGATTTCGAGTACGGATTAGTAAACATGCAGTTGATTAGTTTGTTTTGTACTTTTAACCGAGGAGATGACAAGTTCAACTCATTCCATTAAAAACAAAGGAAAAAGAAGGAGAGGACCTGAAGAGGGAGGGCGTCCATGTCAGCCCTGAGAGCAAACACTGGTTTGGAGCCAGAACCAATGGAAGCCACCACACCAGTCTTGGCAACAGGCCACGTGTACTCAATTCCTAGCGTGTCGAGCTCCGTCCTGATGAGCTGACTTGTCCTGTGCTCCTCGAACCCAATCTCTGGGTACTGGTGGATTCTCCTCCTCACTCCCCTCATCCACTCAAAGAACTCGGCCTCCTTCGCCGATGCCAATAGCTCCCGAGTCAGCAACTCGAGCTCTGTCTCACTGGTTTCCGAAGCCCATGATTGGCCCAAAATAGTTTGCATTAATAAGCACAAAAGCATCAATGCCACCATAGTCGGATGAAAGTATTTTTTTGGGGTAATTTGAAAGTAAATCACTTCAGAGAGCAGCAGAATGGGATAAGCTTTTTATCGTGAATTTCTGTATTTGGCCTGCAAATTTATTTATTTTTATTTGTTCATCACATCACATCACACTTTTAAGAAGGTAATATACATACACACAATATATTAACGCTAATTTATTAATAAGATAATTTAAAACTGTGCTCAAATCGTTGTAATCAACGAAACTTTAATCAACATGCCTATATTATGTTTGCTACTCCAACTCCAATTCAATTATTTATCCTTATGTCATTTTTTCAGTTTAACTATTTCTCTTAAGATTTGAACCGGAGACTTTCTCTAATAGATAGAATAGTTTTTTTATTACAACAAGTAATATTTTTATTATAAATTATACTAAAAAGTAAGGAGAAGGAGAGAGTTTGATCTCGGAACGAAATGAATGAAATAAGATCTTAACCACAAAAGCAATCCATTACTTGCCTTTATTAACCCTTAACCACTAGATGAACATATGTTAGTTCACCTTGCCAAATACAACATTATGAGTACATCTTTACAATTATGAATGAATGATGCCGCACGATTTATGCACTTTCACTTACTTGTGATGCACAATTTTCTTTGTTTTTATTTTTTGATTCTCATTTGATTTATTCAATCCAGTGACTAAAAAAGCAACAAAAAAAATTGAAGAAATCATGCATGAGAGGAAAAAGAACTGCGGAAATAATTTCTCATGAATGATTTAATCTTCATTTTTATAAATGTAAACATTTCGAGTTCCAACATGAGTTATTCACTGTCAAAAGATATACATCAAATGCCCCAATGCGTCACAACAGCACATCAACATTATCCAAATATGAGAGTGCAACTGCAGCATGAAAGGCTGCTCCAATTGGAAGAAACTCCTCATCAATCACCAAGAAGGGTGAATTCAAATCTGTTTTCGATTCAAACGTCTCGTTCTTCGTTCCAATCATGAAAAATGCAGCAGCCATTTTTTCTGCATAGAAGCTAAAGTTCTCTGCTCCCATAGCCATTGGAAGTACCTTCACATTCGGTTGCCCAAGCAAAGTTTCTCCAACAGTCTTCGCATGTTTGTACATTGCTTCAGCATTAACCGTGGCGGGATAGGGCCTAATTTTTTCCAGCATGAAGTCTACCGTTGCTGTGCACCGATGCACCGAAGCTTGCATCTCTATAACCAGCCTATCATCATACACATTTAAATCAATGGTCTAAACAAAGATTCTCGACTCTTGACTCTTGATTACATAACATGTCAAACTGTCTAGTCTCATAAGACGGCAAAATTTCAATCACACTTCCAACTAGTAACTGCTTTTAAACTGCATGTTTATCTGAAAAGCTACCATCTGATAAGACCTTCTGAAGTCATGCTTCGAAATGTGCCTCTTAATGTCACCATCTCTGGGATTACATTTACTGCTTGGCCACCATAAAAACAACCCCACAGTTACAACCTTGTAATAGGTCAGAAATGAGTACCCTTTTAGGTGATCCGCACCTTGTATTTCTTAAAGTCTCCAGTTAAAAGATCATCAAATCGGAAAACTATTTAGACAGAGTTGTTATTCAACCAATAGACGAACACTTTTTGTTACTAAATTTGGCAGAGATAAACATCAAGTCCAACAGTTGAATTAATTTCCGGCTTGGCCCATTGTTTGCAGGGACGACGATTTAGAAAATTAAGAAGAAGATTATGCATATATAATTATACAACCCCTGGACTCTAGGGGTTTGTTTCTCGAGATACAATCTGTTGGAGTCAAATGTGGAGAAGTAACTAGCATGTCCACCTTTCCCATGAATTATGTTGGAATGCATTTTTTGGAAGTGACAAAATCTGCAAGGGGATATCTTGTAGTATAGGTAACATAATCAACAAGCCTAGATGGATGATGGCGATCTCTTGTGGGATTTCTCCGAGTTGAAACTTGTGGTGGAGGTAGTGGCTCGGAGACTTGTGGTGGAGGTAGTGGCTCGAAGACTTGAGATAAGGATTCTGTAGGTGAGCTTGGAGTGTCATTCCCTACTACTTTTTCTTGATAAGAAGGGATGTTAGGTAATGGAAAGAAATCATGTAGAGACTCCCCCTGATTTGTATCACCCACTTTATGTGTAAAGTAGGGAGTTGACTCATTGAATCTAACATCTCTAGACACTACAAGCTTCTTAGTGACTGGATTATAACACTTATACCCCTTTTGTGTAGATGAATAACCCATGAACACACACTTACTAGCCCGAGGATCAAGTTTGTCACGATGAGTAGGTTGAGTGTGAACAAAGCATATACACCCAAAGACCTTTAAGTGAGATAGGTCAATCTTTCTCTCCTTCAACACTTCATAAGGAGATTTGAAACCTTACTAGGGAGGCGGTTGATGAGGTATGTAGCAGTAAGTACCCCTTGTGACCAAAACTTCTTAGGTACATGCATATGAAACATGAGAGCTCTTGTCTTCTCAAGAAGGTCTCGATTTTTTCTCTCGGCAACCCCGTTTTGTTGGGGAGTACCGACACAACTTGTTTGATGAAGAATGCCATGGTTGCTCATATATTGTGACATATTATTGGACATATATTCAGTGCCATTATCAGATCTTAATATGTGAATATTGGATGAGAATTGAGTGCTAACAAGCTTATGGAAATCTTGAAACACTTGTAAATTCACCTTTAAACTTTAAAAGGTACAACCAAGTGATCCTTGTAAAATCATCCACAAAGGTTACAAAATACCTATATCCATCAAAAGACTCGACAACTGGTCCCCAAATATCTGAATGAATGATTTCAAAAGGATTACTAGCCCTAGACAAGGATGAATCAAAGGGTAATCTGACAGATTTCGACAAGTGACAAGTATCACATTGAATCTTGTCCTTACACAGGTTTGGGAACAAAAAAGACATCACTTTTTCAGAGGGGTGAGCCAACCGTAGGTGCCAAAGATGTTGGTCTTGTGGTATACTAGAGCTAGCTTGAAAAACCTTGGAAGTCTTGAAATCTTTGGCTAGGTAGTAAAGGCCATTTAAAAAGAAACCTTCACCAATCGTCTTCTTGGTGATGATATCTTGAAAAACAACATTATGAGGGGAGAAAATGGCTAGGCAATTTAAAGATTTTGTGAGGGATCCAACGGATAACAGTTGACAAGGGAATGAAGGAACATAAAGTGCTATTGACTCTATGTGATCTGAAAGAATATTGATTTTTCCTTTTCCTACAACTGAGGCTCCTTTCCCATTAGCTACTGACACTTGAGATGGAATGGACATAATTTTAAAATCATGCAGTTTGGTGAGTTGATTTGTCATATGATCTATAGCTCCTGAATCTATAATCCAATAATCATGCACACAACTAGCATTAAGAGCAGTTGAGAAGGAACTTAAGATACCTGGCATATCATTTTGTGGAACACGGTCAGTCTCTGCAAGAAATCCAGCGAACTTTCCCAATAAAGCAGTGTGATTTTTGCTTTCAGACATAGAGGTTTCCAAACAGTCATTGTGCAACTGTTTCTTGTGGAGATAGGCTGCGAACTCGTTGATCAATATGGCGGGATTGGCTGTAAAGTTTATCATGCCCTCAGTAGAAGAACCAGCTGCATGGTTGGCTCGGTGAGATGAATGATTCAAGCTTTTCTGGGGGCCCTTGTTATCCTTTAATGAGCTTGACTTCAGTTCTGGATGAAGAATCTAGCATCTATCTCGAGTGTGTCCAACAGCATCACAATAGTTGCATTTCAAGTCAGGCCTTTTACCTTTATAAGGCCTTCCTTCAGTGCGACTATGATTAGAAACATAAGCTCTAGTTTCAGGCATATTTGATTTGATCTCCAAGTTCATCACTTTCTTCCTTACTTCTTCTCTTTGAATGATAGCACATACACCTGTGAAAGATGGCAGCTCGGAATTCATAAGTACATGACTTCTAAGATCTTCAAACTCTGTGCCCAAGCTTGCCAAAAGTTGAAAGATCTTATCCTCCTCAGCTCTCTTTATTAGGACAGTAGCATCAGTGGTATGAGGTCGATAAACATTAAGTTCGTTCCACATACTTGTCAAGCTGCCAAGATGTTGAACAAACGACTTGCCTTCTTGTTGCAGATTTGCAATGTCTTTCTTAAGCTGAAAAACACGAGCAGCGTTGTTTTGATTCCCATACATTTCCTTGACTTGAGCCCATAGATGCATGGATGATTCTGAATAACTGAAAATTTCAGCAATTCTACGCTCCATAGAATTAAGTAACCATGACATAACCAATTGATCTTTACACAGCCATGACTCAAATGTAGGAGACGTGGCTGCAGGCGCCTTTATAGCACCATTGATATATCCAAGCTTAGATCTTCCTCCCAGTGCAAGAGATATGGCTCTAGCACATGGAAGATAGTTGAATTCATTCAACAAGACAGAACTGAGACGTTGGTTTGGATTAACCTCAACGTCGGAACCTGCTGCAGTAGCCAAAGAACAGTCAGCTTCAAAAGACTTGTCTTCCGCCATCGTAGCATGAAGAAAAAAATGCAACGAAAAAAAATGAAAGAGAACATAAGCCTAACTTGCCTAACTTGCCTAACTTGCCTAATTTCCTAACTTGCCTAACTTGCCTAATTTACACAAAGAAGGTTGACTAGCCTAACTTCACTAGTCATCCAACATGTTTATTTCATGCATGCATTTTAACAAAAGATATGACTTGCATGCATTCCAACAAATTATGACCCAAAAACCTACCAGCCCCAGCAAGCATTGGACCAGCTCTCGAACCGATAGTTCCGACAGTCATTTCTGGTGAAATATGTATCACAAGAATGCCTTGAACGTTATCAAGAGTACCCTCTTTTAGTTGAATAGTACCGGCAAAACACTGTTTATTGATTTTTTTTAACTAACTAATACAAGCACTACTATATATAGTGAAAACTAAAACAAAATCCTAATCCTTAAAGGATATAGAAAACTCTAATAAACCCTAAATCCTAACTCTTAAAGGATATAGAAAATTCTAATATCCTTGTCACATAAGAAAACCATAAACAAAAATAAACTAATAACTAATTTTTCAACACCCCCCGTCAAACCCATGACGGTACACGTCATGAGTTTGCCAACACGCAGATGCGGATGCAAGCTCCGTTAGGCGGACAAGACACGACAAGCTCCGTTAGGCGGACACGACAAGGCAAGACAAACGAGCAAATAAGTGAACGAACAAACAAGCATGCGAGCAACGAACAACCAAGTAAGCAATTTCCATACTACCAACTCCAATCCTTGCGGGCATCTTCTTCAACCGTCGAAGAGGCGGGTGGATGCAATTCAACAAATGCGGCCTTAGGTGGTGGTTCTTTAACCATTTTCGAGCTATCCAAGGACATTGGTTTTTCCAATTCCCTTGTTCTTTGCAATAGCTACATTGATTATGAGTAATATTTTTACCATGCTGCTGGTTTTGAGGTCTAAATGACGTTGCCAAAGCCGATGGGTTCACCAAAGAAAGACTATGCGATTGTACCCGAACTTCTTCGGCTTGCAATTCATGAAGCACAGAATCAACGGAAGGAAGTGGAGTTCGGTGTAGGATAGAGCTACGGAGAGTCTCAAACTCACTTCGAAGAGGCATTAGAAACTGAACAAGGCGTTGTTCTTCTCTATGTTTACAATAGAGCTCAACATTGCCAAGTCCGTCAGGTTCTGTCAGTGCAAGCTGGTCCCAAAGACAAGTCATGTCATTATAAACATCTTGGATACTTTTATCACTTTGCTGGTTGGCACGAATCTCCATCTCTAACTGATAACGCTTAGCAAAATTTGACTTGGTATACAACTTTGCTAAGTGATCCCAAACCTCTTTAGATGTTGAGAACTTAGCAAGTTGCATTCCAATCTTCAAAGCAACAGAGATATTAATCCAAGTAATAATCTTTGAATTGTTCATCTCCCAAATAGCAAGCAGGTCAACATGTTTTTCATCTTTGGGATTATTAGGAGCGGAAACCGTTCCAGATACATAGCCCCACAAACCTTTTCCAAACAAGAAATTCTTCATGACATATGCCCAATACACATAATTATTACCATTCAATCTCACACCAATCGCTTGCAGTGAGTCATCCTTAGTTGTCATATTCAGTGAACCAAAAAAAAACAGGGACAAGGTGCACAATACCGACAATAATTTGGTTTAGGTTGTAGACTGATGCAAGCAAATCTGATTCTGGGTAGCAGGTTACGGGTTGGTTTCACGGTAAAGTAGCGGAAGATGGTTGTAGGGTGAAAGTTGGTGGTTCAAGCAGCAGTGATGGCGGACAGTGCGAGACAAACGAATCAAACTGAACAAATAAGCTATCAGATGAACAAATAATCTACGAGACAGGTCCTCACGAACCTGCTCTTGATACCAAGTTGAATAGTATACCGGCAAAACACTGTTTATTGATTTTTTTTAACTAACTAATTCAAGCACTACTATATATAGTGAAAACTAAAGCAAAATCCTAATCCTTAAAGGATAGAGAAAACTCTAATAAACCCTAAATCCTAACCCTTAAAGGATATAGAAAATTCTAATATCCTTGTCCCACAAGAAAACCATAAACAAAAATAAACTAATAACTAATTTTTCAACACTTTTATCATATGGTATGCACCCTCCACGCCCCTCTTCTGCAGGCTGAGAAAAAGCTTGATTGTGCCCTATAAAAATTGAAAACATGAATGCAAATTGTAAACAATGTGTATAAATGGTCAAAAACATAATGGAAAAGATTTGAGCATATATTAACTTCAGTTGGTTTGTATATATACCTTTATTTCTTTACTTTTGAGTTAAGTAACTTAGCAGCTCCTAGCAGTTTTGTTACATGAGCAACTGTCCACACAAGTGCAATTTTCCAGGGTTCTAGCTCGTCCTCCCACTCAATCATTTTATAACAAACAAGAAACCCTATTTAATTAGTTTTTTTTTTTTTTTGAACTGTTATTAGCACTTCAAAAATCTCATTTTATACTCCTCACTAGTGTATTTTTCTTTCTAATTATAGAAAATTTGAAGTACAAAATGAGATTTTTTGGAATGTTAATAACAATTCCCTTTTCTTTTAACAATAAACCTCTTTTAATGAGGTCTATGGATTACATAACTAACCGCCTCTCTAATAAAAGTGTACCTCACGCGAGGCCCACATGTATTAAGCTATATGATCAATAAATGTGATGGAAATAACATCATTCTTTTTGTTAATGTTGGATTAAATAAATACTGTCAAATTAAAATATGAACTGATTTTCAAACACAATTTTTCGTCCCTGCACACCTTAGGTTTAGCCTTTGAATTGGACAAAACCAAATAATATTCAAGGGACACAAATAGACATAGGTGCGCAGAAGGAGAAAATGGTTTGTGGAATCCTTCATCATTCAATGTATCTAACTGTTTAGTCTCTAACTTTTAATAATTGGCATTTTACTACCATAAAATTACAAATTGTTATACTAATGTCCCTTCCGTTCGTCGAGCTATCAACTAACAAGTACTGTCAACGAAAAAAAAATTAACTAACTGCTAAGTTTTTACCCGACACTTAGTTGGTCTACTTTTTACTTACATGAACACTAATAGCGCGTTTACTAATCCGTAATCAAATTGAGAGGAATTGAATTGAGGAGGAATTAGATTGAGGCGGAATCAGAATCGGATTCATGTTATTGTTGTTTACTAAAACTGTCTGGAATCGGAATAGAATTTCATAAAGTTGTTTACTAATTCAACAAAATCAGAATATAAATCAATATAATTACTAAAATGCCCTTGTCCCAAGTAATGTAAATACTAAATTGCCCATATTCCAAGTATATAGTTTTTATATTTTTGATAAATTCTTTTTTTTTTTTTTTTTTTTAAACTTTGTGAAAAAACTTTAAAATGAATTTGTACGGTTTATATATATATATATATATATTATTTTTGTTTAAAATGTCAAAAATTATATTTATGTAGTTAATATTAAAAAAAAACCAACTGGGATCCTCTTTTTCTTTCTCCTGGAGCCTAATCTGCGCCCCAACCCCATATTCTTTTCAGCGATCCCCAAATCTTTTTAGCCTCCCCTTCTTCTTCTTGCTCCCTTCTGATTCTTCTTCTTATTTTCTTCTGATCCTTCTTCTACATCTGCCAATTGTTTTTTCTTTCTCATGAAGGCCGCACCGCACCGCACCCCATTCCCCAATTCTTTTCAGCTTCTCCATCTTCTTTTTTTTTTCCATCTTTTTCTTCTTTCCTTCTGATTTTTCTCCTCCTGATTTTTCTTCTCCTTTGATATTGGCCATTGCCCACAGAGACACACAGAAGCAGAGAAAGAGGTGGAAGGGAGACGAGATAAGGGTATTTTGGGTAGAAAAATGGGATTCCAGATAGAGCATTTCATCCGGAATTCAAATCCCACCTATTATTTGGGAGACCGGTTCCGGATAAATGGAGAGTCTGATTCCCCATATTAGATGGGTCCCACATACACTTCATTCCCTCAAATGTTGGTAAACACTTGAATAACCGGAAAGGAGTGCAATTCTCATTCCTCTTGTCTCACTCTCCTTACGTAAATGCACCGTAAATTGATATTGCATTTGAAACACCTCAACTCTATTTTATTTAAAAATTGTTTTAAAACCTTAATTGGTGAGCCCGTGGGACCCACCTTGTTTTATTTTTATGTTTTCTAGTCTCTCCTCTCTCAGTTCTCTCTTCTCCCTCACCTCTTCTGCAACTCTCTCCCATATCTCTCTCGGACCTCATCTCTCTCCCTTGCTGCAACTCCTTTTCTCTGAGCAGCACTCAACCACGCCATCTGCTGAGGACATCATCATCAAAACCTCTGCAGTTTTCTCTCTCCCGTTGTAGAAAGGACGACGAAATCCCAGGAGCATCCGGCGAGCACCGCCCCTTTCGAGGAAATTTCCGGCCAAACCACGGTGCATTAGCCAGCGTGCAAGGTATCAATCTCTTCGTCTCGTCGAGTAGTATAACTTTTCTTTTTGTTTCACTCTATTTCGTTGAGTATTGAAGAAGTTATACTCATTTGAATCTTACCCAGTTTCCGGCGACCTCCGAGGCTTTCGAGGAATTTTCCGGCCAAACCACGGCAAGTTAGACGTCGTGTGATGTACCATTCTCTTCGTCTCTTCAAGGGCTACAACTTTCGTTTTTGAATCGCTTGATTTCGTTGAGTAGTAACAAAGTTATGGCTGTTTAAAGATTGTGCATTTTCTGGCCGAATTTCCGACCTTCTTCTTCCTTTGAATCCGGTAGCCCAGAAAAACCAAGCCCTTTAGGCCTTCCTTGCCGAGCCCAACCCTTTCGGTTGTGAGGCCTTTGGGCCTTTGTGTGTGTGTGTGTGTTTTGTGAGGGCTTGCCTTGTGCAGCCCGCGTGTGTGTATGTATATTCAGTATGTGTGTGTGTGTATGAGTGCATGTGTGTGGGGTGTGTGTGTTTATGCATGTCGTGCATGCATGTGCATGTTGTGCATGTGTGTATGTTTGTGTAGTGTGTGTGTTGTATGCATGTGCCGTGTGTGTGTGTGTGATTTGTGTGGGTTTGGGCTCAAGCCCAATCCATCTCTTTTGCTCCTAAACTATCCAAAACCCAAAAACCTTAGGACCCTAAACCCAAAACCCAATAGGTCCTAACCCTATTTAACCTAAATCTAAACCCTAATCCGGATTCAAGCCTAAAACCCGTTAGACCTAATTTGACCGTTGACCCCCGGTCAACGTTGACTTTAGGGTTGACTTTTTGGGTTTTCGTCTGGAACCTTTCTTAGGGTAATTCGACATTCTGAACCCATTTCCAATGTCCGTTTTCCCAAATTCAATTGCTATTATATAGTTTTATTAATTGTACCATTTAATGTGCTTAGGGGCAATTATTGTGACGTTTCCGTCTTCGCTAATGGCACAGCTTTTGGCAACTAAGTACTGTGAGTGGACCACTTCTAAAATTATATGATTTTATAGTTTAATTGCATAAATGATTAGCATGCCTACGAATTTATGATTTGATTTATGTTCAGCCTGTTTACTGTATATTTTGATTTTCGTCTTGTGTTTTTGGTGAGGAATTCATTGTTGGCCTATTTTGAGCTATATTTTAATATATCGTATTTTCTATAAAAACCATGAACTGTTAGACTATCCGATGAATGACGATAAGATGATAAAACATGTTTTCGAAACCCCTCTTTATAGTATAGACGATGGATGACTTTATACTATGAAATAGTTATTTATGAGAGGCGTAACTATTTGTGCGTACCTAGTAGACACTATGCCGTCTAGGGCGAGGATCTGGTGTTGGCAATTAGGCCGGGAGAAATAATCCCTAGCGAAAGGCTGAGGGACACGGTGACAGGCACTGGGCCGGGAGGGAGTTATCTCTGGCTACGAGCACAGAGACTTAGGTGCAGGCATTGGGCCGGGAGTTATATTTATTCGATGATCTTTCTAACAGCGCACCGCGCTTACGAGACGATATATTATACGTTTACTGTTTTGATTTCCGCGATGTTGTTCTGCGATATGACTTTTGAGATATTTTTGGCATACTAGGATTTTGATTAAATCCATCACTTATTATGCTAGTAGTTTTCATTATATAAACTGTGGGGGTTAGTATCTTGATAACTGTTTTATTATTATTATATATATGAACATAGTCCACTCACCTTTGTTTTGCGCCCCTATTCAGAACTTAGAATCAAGGCACCTAATCCCGGCGGCAAGGCACTTCCGCAGCAGCATCTCGTCCTTTCGGGGTAGAACCCACTCCTTTGTTCATTCAATCTTATCTTAATTCTTGTTAGTGACTAGGTTTAGTTGTATATTCTGAACACGTTCCTAATTTATTAATTCATCATATTTTAAATTCATAACCCTTATTTATTTCTTATTCTTAGCTTTTGTATCAATTAATGGCTTTCGTCACCTTCGGGTGTCGACCAGCACGTATCGGTCCTGGTATTCGAGAAATATCAAGGTCGGAGCGTGTCAGCATTTATATCATTATTTGCATCTATAAATAAACCTAGAAGGTTAACGTTTCCACTAAGAAAATTCTTATTTGCTGTTCATA